AAGTCGTCGATGGATGTTAGTGGTTGGCATCTCGTCATCCTCACAGATTGTCTCGCTCACACCAGACTTCTTGCTGCCAATTGCTCGGATGAGTTGGAAGAGCTTCCGGTAGTTACCAGATGCAGCTGCTGCTTCCAGCTCATTAGCACGCTCTGACCACCAGGCTTATTGGTTCTTACACAAGCTTTGCCCAATTTCATTACGTAACATCCTTCGTTTGTGGTCAAACTCACGGTCACCCGGAGTAGACCGACGGGCTTCAATGAATTGTAAGGAACCAGAAAAAAACCAGTGCTGATAAGCGAGACGTTTTGCGAAGCCACAAGCGGCTTTACTCGCCATTTTGATGGCGTCATGAAGTTGCAACCAATGTTCATCTATACTTTTCGGTGGAGCGGTAGCTAGCCTAGAAGCTAGCTCGGTTCGATACTTACAACAGAAGTTGCAACCAGCTTGCTAACATCAATCCGTTCATGGCGGTCACTTCGTTGGCCACTGAAAAGCAAGGTAAGATTGGCGCAGACCAGGGCGTGATCAGAGTCCAGATAGGTGCTACAAAATGAGCGACAGTCTTGTACACAACCACGTCAGAGGTAGCTGATCGCGATGTGATCAATCTGAGTCCAGGTTTGAGATGCAGAGGGAGGACGCCAGGTGGCACATCGGCGATGACTGTGCTGAAAGTTAGTGCTAGCCAGAAACAGGTTGTGGTTTGTGCACAGTTGCAGTAGACGGTCCCTGTTATCTGTCCTGTGACCAACAAGTCCCCATCGGCCACCTAAGCGACTCTCTTCTGTGCCTAGACGCCCGACCTGAGCATTCGAGTCTCCGGCTAGTACTACAATATTTGTCGAACGCACTTTCTGGAGAACAGTTAAATAGTGGTAGAATTCATCCTTGATTGCATCCGGGCTGCAATCTGTCGGGGCATAGGCGGAGATGACGAAAAGACATCGTTTCTCACGCCGATTTCTTCTCACTTTGATGGAACTCTCTAATCTAACAGCACATAACCGACTGTTAATGGGGATCCAATCGATTAGTGCTGCCGCAGCTCTAGCGCTTAGTGCGACACCAACGCGAGCAAGACCAGACGAAGATGCCACAGGGTCCCCGAATAAACGCACATAAAACAAGCTTTTCGAAGCGACAGATGGTGAGCGAATTTGTAGTACTTCACCAGAGTATTGAATACAGGTCTCGAATAGACAACAAAACATCGATATTAAGACTCTCTAGAGACATAGCCAGCCCTATCTGTTGTCCGACCTGCATAAATTTGCGAACGTTGAAGGCAGCCAGTATGAATGCTGCACGTGGTTTCAGAAAAACTGCTTCAGTCCTCGTATTCGGTGGTAACATACAATTTTCAACCGGACAGTGACTCGAGAACGTTTAGATACTGTCTAATTTCCACCATAGGCGAGCTGCTGTATAAGTCAAAAAAATAAGTATAAACAGAGTGGGAATAAAAGAGGGTAAATAATGACGTAGTAAATAATAATAATAGTTATTATTATAGTAATAATAATAATGCGAGTCACTTGATTGTTATTTGGAGCGAGAGGAATATTTTTCATAAGTAGATAGTTTATCATGTTCTTGTGTGCGGGCTGAGATACTGTCCAGGTACCCAAACCGAAGCAGGTGGGTTTCTTAGGGGGCCACACCCCGTGCCTTTGACCTAAAGGTCTAACCCAAAAGGCAGTGGAGCATCGTGAGGAGATGCAGTCCCATGGTAGCCGGTGACCAAGAAAAACTGCTTCAGTACTCATATTCGGTGGTAACATACAATTTTCAACCGGACAGTGACTCGAGAACTTTCAGATAGAACCGAATTTCCACCATAGGCGAGCTCGTATATAAGTTGGAAAATAAGGATAGACAGTGGGAATAAAGGAGAGTGAATAAATGACGTAGTAAATAATAATAATAACAATAATAATAACTAATGTTCTCAATATTATCACTAGGTTACTGGATAAATCTTAATGTCATCATTCGCCTGCCCACTCTCAATAATTCAGATTTGTAACTTCTTAAATTAGATTGGCGGAGTATTTTCTCCGAAGCTTCATTTCTCCTTATTTTTACATGCATTCGCACATAACAATTTCAACAGAGCAGTGTTTTTTAGTTTATATTTGTGCATATGCTTACTATGTCATACCAACATCCTTTTCTAGCCCTGATTACTAAGCTCCCCTACTGATCTGTGTTCGCAGTATAACATATCTCATCTCTGAACAGTGACAAAACTGGCCCTGATATTTATTTACAATTGTGATTCAAACGCTATTCCGCTTTTAAATTCGATATTTGCTTATTGAGAGTGATTTCGTTTAACTCAACAAGGGTTCTTATTATTTTATTACTTAAGTAATAGTCTCTGTTGTTTTTGTAATTGACATATTCACGGTTTAGTTACGTCTGGTTTCTGAATTTTAAGCTGTTGGTACAGCTCATTTCTTAAAAACGCTTGGGTATATTGTATACTACTCAAACTTATATTATACAAAATAAGTAACACATTTGGTACAGAACTATTTTGTTCTGATTATATAAGTCATTGTACGTCATTAACTTGACAACTAGGTCGTATGGACTGCTATAAGTGGACTCGAGCATTTTTGGACATCACAATCAGTTCTGTTTGATGTCAGGACTGTGCAAAGCTTTTCAAGGTTACTATTCGAAACCTCTTTTTGCATACTAAATTACATACATCTGTGACTACTCGTGGAGGAGCATAGGCCACCCACCAGAATTCTTCATCCAACTCTATCCTGCGCAATCCTTTCAAGTTCTTTCCACCTGCTATTGATCCCTTTCGTGTCTGCTTCCAAGTCCTGATGCAGTGTATTCTTTGGTCTTCTTTTCTGTTTCCCTTCAGGATTTCAAGTTAGTCCTTGCCTCATGATGCTCTTTGATGATTTTCACAATTTATGTCATATCCAAAGTCTTTTCGTGATTTCTTTTTCAGCTGGAGGCTGGTTTATTCTATCTCATGATAGACTGTTGCTGATGGTGAAAGGAACCGAAAAATAATACAAAAAGAATTCGAAAATAAAGGGATGAGGTGTTTCTGAATGATGATTGATGTATCAAAGTGCATACAATCTACGCTGACTAGTTACAGTAAATGAGGATTTCAGCGTACACACACGTCATCGAGTACAGATGCTAGACCGAAGATTTTCAGGTGCGGTTATATCCAGAAAAACTAACGGGGACAGCTTTAAAGTTTATTTATTTATGAGGTTTACCGACCACTATATATGCAATTTATTTTGTTCATCTACCATCCATCACAACTAATGCTTCCTGTTAAAAATATCCCTACAATATGGTTAGTATCCACCAGTCTACCTAGTGAAAACGAAGAAAATCATTGACGAAACTATCAATAATGGACAAACCAATGATATTTGAGACAGAAAGTCTTGGATTCCGGCTCGAAATTAGTGCACTCATATGGCTAAATAGCGTTTCATCATGATACTTGACGTAAGTTTGCGATGACAACCCTAAATTTAATTCATGGTCACAATTCGCCACACTGATTCATAACCTCCCTTTGACCTTAGAAATCAAGTGAATCTTCTCAAGGTCAACTCAGTCTCGCTTAAAAGTCGTCCATAAATTATAGTCTCACCTCTAAATTTGTTTTTTGTCGACTAATCTTCAACTAGAGATAAGACTAAAATTTACGGACGACTCTTGACGCCGCTATAATGACCTTGAATTGTTCACCTACTTACCAGTGTTAAACGAGGGATATACATCAGGAATCAGCATTAGGATTCCCTGTTGAATGTTAGAGTTAGGAATTAGATTTATTACTTTCATTAAGAAATGGCATAAGCTAAAATGCCAAAATGCTATTTGGCCAAATGAGCGAATGAATTTCACGCCCAAATACAATACCTGCAATCTTAAACGTGATTGGCTCGACCATAAATTATACTCTCGCCATTTACTCAACGACAGTCAGTGGGTTCATCTGAATTTCTAACATATTCTAAAGACTTTAATTGTATGATTTACATATATACTGAAGTGTAGTGGATTCCAACAGATCTTGGAATCTAAAGCTTAAAGAAGAACACAGTATCTTATCAAAACAATAAATTAAAGAGACTTGAATAAAAAAGGAGAGATATTGAATTTACGGACTATCAAACATGTTTTGGGTTTCTTATTATGGCTTGGACATTGATAGTTGATTATTTCTACTAATATTCTCCTGTAGAGTCGGTTGTTATGTTAAGCCCACATAACTTATTCTACCTTCTGGACGGGCCAATTTACCCATTCATTTTGAGTCACGTTCTAACCTTAGTAATTATTCCATTATCAACCGCGACTGTTTTCATATGATCGCATGTGTGTGTACATCTTAACCTACTCACCACACGTCCGTAACTTATCTTTGTGTGACTATAGATATTGACTAACGCTTGATTAAATGGAGTTGGCTCACATACATCCACTGTACATTCTTTTGCTCGCTTCGCTCTCTCTTCTTCGCTGCGATTCTTTGTTCCGATAAACAAGTGTACAGGATATACTTATTGAAACATCCATTCTCGTATATGACTTATTTAATTCTGTTGTTCACTAACGCGAGTTAAGTCGATAATTTTATTCAAAGATAGCCAGGATGTATGTTTCGACAGCAATCATTCATATGATCTAATTGTTGTGAGGTTTAGGGCCACTAAACGCCTATACTAGCTACTTGTTGAGATCACTTTTATAACCTTAAGTTGTCTATCTGGGTGTCCTACTACAAGCGAAAACAAATTTTTATACTTCAGAATATGACGTCAAGACCTGATAAAAAATGTTGAGGTTACCAATCAATAAAAAATTCATTCTTCACAGTACTTTTATCTTTGTAAAACTCTCGTTAAAAACATCTATGTATCTTGCTTACTTACTCGCAACTAATGACTACTGAATAACTGAACCTAAAAGACACTGGGAGTTTTAACAGCTGATTGCTTCGAACAAAAAACCATTTACCTGCCCTACGCAAACTGGATACCAAAAACTGATTTGAGCTTCTAAAAATACGCCACGGATTTCAGTCAAAAATACACATATTCAAAATGATTTCACATACAACGATTAGCGGACAAATATCACATATAAGAGAAATATAAAAAGTTAACGACGTCCGTGAGAAATAAACAAAAAGAATACCATACTGAATAAATCTTACACTGAAATAATATGACACGCCGAAAACTTAAACATTAAAACAAAAGGATAGATGTTAAACTGCGCACTGACTACATTAGATTAGAAATAATAATGCAGAGCAAGCCACACGAAGTCAAGACATATTTTATCATATTTTAATACATACTTCCTCTTGGAAAGTCGATTTCTTTCATTCCAATTCCCTGTTCTAAAAAACAATTTAAGAATCTTAGGTAGTGGCCAACTTATTAGAAATAAATGAACGAGTCACTGGTTTGACATAACTTTTTTAATCTCATAAATAAAAGTGTTGGTCATTGAAAACCTTTTCAAATGTTACTCATATTTCATTTTTTTCAGCATGGAGCTATGAGTTCGTCTCACTGTCTAATGCCTCATATCAAATATTTATCAACAAGATCCCAGTTGTACCAGATGTTTAATTTGTGGAACATCAGCTAAGACCTAATCAATCATAGAACGACATTTCGAGTGCGACAGTCCGACTGAAAATTATAAACTATAGGACTGTAAATTAACAAGCAATGGCAACATTACTCCTGACACACCACTCCAACCCATCACGATATTGTTGTAAAATTCTACATGAACAATGAATGTAACTTTTTTTCAATGCAATTAAATTTGTCAGCAGCACTGACATTGCAGCAACACAGATAGTTGGAAGTTTAGTGAGATACTATTTCTTCAAAAATACGGTAACTAATACTAAATTCAAAAACACCTCGCAAAAATAATTGGGAATTCATATCTAGTATATTCAACCACATCTCAGAGTTCTAGGTTAGTAACCATCCCAATTGTACTGTTAACCACTTAACAAAACATTATTAACGAAACTATATTGATTTGCATGTAGTTCTAAATTTAAACAATTAGGTGACAAATTACAACTGATTTGTGTAATCATTACTCCATCAAATACCGGACATTTCAGCAATTAATCATTTTAGCACTGATTAAGTTGGTTTGCTGATTTTAGTGTCATCTCCAATCTAGGCAAAAACTAAGGGAGTTAGATTAGAACGTCGTTCACCTTAGTTTTTATTTATGTTGATATACAAATCCGCTCAGCTGTTGCCAACGGCATCAAATACTGAAGTGGATTTAGATGCTACAGGGAAACTTTTGAACTCTGTATATCTGATCTTTCTTGACTCCGTAGGACTAATGAGCATGTTTTAGGGCGACAACAAATAATTCGTGTGTTGTACGGCTGGTCACTGGTTCCGATTCCACTGCAACGATTTCCAAACGTCAAATGTTTGTATAATATTAATGACCTAATGTTTATGAGCATTTTCATTATTTCTTCAAACTATTCATGCACATTTTAGCAGTCCTGAAATACTGAGTTAATGCACAAATATATAGTGCTTCCACAAGCCTGGTATTCGAAAGATCATGCTTCATAAAAAAGAATGCATTAAACGCTGGGAACAATCAGTATCATGATGACTTCTGAATAAACCAACTAATTCTAAATATACATCAGAACAGTAATTACTCAGCAGGCATCAATAAACCTTTAAATTTTTTACCGATATATTTGGTATCGCACAGACACTATCATTTTCTTCATATGTTTGGAAGCAAAAAAAGTAGTCTGCACTGAGGGATTTTCGGGGGAAACACCACAAATGTAGTAACCAACAATGCTAGGAAACAAAAATCACTTGTGACTAGAAAGAAAAAAAGACACATCGAACAATACTTGACACTGAAAGTAAACTGATACAAATTTAACACTTTTATACATCCACATTCATCAAAGCAATAATAATATTTATTTTTCACAATCATGTAAGGCTTTTTACCATCACAGAAGAAAAATTAGAAATCTTACTTGTTTGACGATTATTGACAAAGGAAAATATGAATAACTAAAAGTTTTAGAATAGAAAACATTTCTGCGTAGTTTGCTTGGCATAAAAAATAAGGAGACAGAAGGACAGAACAAAAATTAATATTGCGATTCGTTGTATCATTTAACAAATTATGATCTACTACTGTCAGTATCGAATTGATGCACAAAAATACTAACGTCATACTGATAAGGTTAGGAAAAATATTTAACTCATTTAACACTTCAATTGACCAGGAGTAGTATAAACAAGTACAAAAATCATCTCTAAAAAATGTGTGGATGAACATTCAGAAAAACGAAGGATGTAGTCACGACTCCAGTTTCTAATACCCGCAAATATACATTGGCCATTTAATGGAAATAGTTTGCTTTGTTTAAAGAATTAGTGATAACCAGTTTAAATTTGTTCACTAATAGAATCGCTTCATTTGCCTTTGACGCTTCTTATAATATTTATAGCCCATATATCCACCACCACTAATAAATCCAAATACGAATAACCAAGAAAATAATGTAAGTACGCGGCTGAATCTCGATGGTGGAGTATCATCGACTCGAGCTAAAAAAAAGAAAATTTACATGAATATCTACAAAAAGCGATTACTGAATAACACTTATTACCGGGAAGTGTTGCTTCGAATGCAGAATCCTTAAATTAATCTTATCATCATTCGACTAATGGTAGTATGTATATTCACTATACTCTGGTGTTTTTGAGTATAAAATTACAGTTTAGCTACAAAGTGCTCATTTAAGCCAGCCACATTATAAAGACTGTGACTGGGAATGTTAATCAGGATTAACCCCTAATCTAAAAATAGTTACTGATTTTAGACTTCAGAGGATCATCAGTGACCAGTCATAATCAGCTAAATTTGTACGTGGATCAACCGTAAAAATGAATGTGTATGCAACCCTGGTAGTTTTTGTTATGTACATAAATGCTAACCAATATGACTGAAATCCAAAACTTAAAGTGGAGGAAGACTATAACCACACATTTTAACTAAATAATCCAATGAGAAGACGAAAGTCATCAGAATTATGTGATATATTTACATAATACATCATTTATCAACCCATAGTACTTCAAATCATAAAGATTTAAATGCTTTTGATTCTTTATCTACCAAGCACAACAGTTCAGTACTTCATTATCTCTCTAAAGTTTAATTTCGATAAAAAAACGATGAAGGATTATAAACAAGTCATTTGTACACAGATATAATCCAATTATGTATGAGAATTCAGTTAATTAGAAAATATTTCTTATTATAATTGACATCAACTAGAAGACCACTGATGAAATTAGAGATGAAGCGGTAGTTATTCAGATTTAGTTTTAAATACATTACTATAGGGCGTAAGCATTAAAGAGAGGCACTTGAAGTGACTGAGAAATTCTCACTTTTGTCAGCTGGTCAGGAAGAAACAGATAAGGACGAATGATTTATAATGCAATATGACCTCAATTCAACGAAGAAAGGATAAGGTCGGATCCTAAATCCGGATTTGGGATTAGAGTATAAACAGATTAACTATAAGAACTAATCTTTACCTTAAGTATTTGCTGATATTTCCGTTTCTAAAAGCTTGCACGTGTGATAGACAACATTTTGGTTTGATATATCCACTATAATTGGCGCGCCCTTTGGTTTAATGTTTATCTTAGTGAAACCTTGAAATAACTAACAAACCTGAAGACCGTGTGCTGGATCTCATAAGAACAAGGGAGGGTAGTAACTAATGCGTCTCAAAATGAGGATAAAATAAATATCACTGCTCTGCAAGTGCAACACTTTTCAAATTATTATCAATTTATGATAAAAGCAGCATTATTTACACAATTCACTTCAAATCAACTAATTTAAAAACACAAATACTAGCAACAAATTACATTAACTCTTCCATACATTATTCAATAGGTGAATGCCGTATTGTGTATAAAAACATGTTCCTTAAGATATTGTCAGTTAAAGACTATTTACTAAAATAAAGTCAGTTAGTCAGTGACAACGTAGAACTTCGTACGTACGTACATCAGTTCGAGTTGCCATACCACATTAACACACGGATACAATTGTCGATTCAGATCCCGTAATGGTAGAGGTAATATGAGTACAAGCATTAGTCAGAGAGATTAGAGTTTGAAGATGTTATTCAAGGAGTATAATCCCGTGAAATAAACTTGGAAAAATAAAAAAGGGACATGAAGAATTCAGAAGATTAGAATTTGGGTGTGAACGCAAAGAGTGGATGCACCTGTGCCATTGCAAACGATTTTGAGCCATGTCATTCAAGGTCTCTAACCATCGGTTGCTATCGTCTCGCGGATCTCAACCACGATGTCTACACCTACCAACATGGCTCGGTCCACTTGTCAGTGACTTCATGGATTTGTGCCACGTTTTGGTCTGGCCGTCCCTAGCTTTCTTCCAACCTACTCCTACGTTCGTCGGGGCAGTTGGTGGTTGGGCATATGTAACACATGTCCCGGCCATCTCAACTGATGAAGTTTCACTACTTCATCAACCGATTTGCCATCCTTACCTATTATCTGTTTCCTAACAACTGCCTTACTCGGTGGTCCCGAGATATACGAGCAATGCTTCGAAGACACTAGTGGTGTAAGAAAAAATGTTTGGCGAAAACTTCACTAAACAGGAAAATTAAAACCATAGAATTGTGTTAGATATTTCAAAGTTGTGCATTAATTTGGAGTCAATCAGATACCCTTGACTTCATTGGTTTGAACTAACATAAAAATGTTTCGTATGTACTGGTGACGAAACTTAATATTAATAATGTAGTCAGAGAAACTAAACGATGCAGCATAAAGCTGTGTCTGGTCAATCTCAAGGACAACATTTGCTTAGTATTCTTTACATAGTACATGATCAATATAAATTACAATAAAGTATCCCACCGTGTATGCATTTTAAAAATCATTCTACATAAATCTGAGCAATTTCAGGTTGTGATTGGAAATCTCTGCAATTTGCACATTACATCGATTGCTGGGGATAAATAATCACTACAAAAGATTTTCTGCATGCTATTTACTACACTGTCAGAATTCCGAAAAGTCTAGAAGTATTAACTTTTAAATTTATGTTGTTGTGAGATGAGATATCATAACAGACAGAGACAAGAGAAAACAGATAGTAGCTTCTTGAAAACCAACTAAGCAAACCAATAAATTTTCAAGTTTTCATTTTTTCCCAAACTATGTAGGTTAAAGAATATATTTAAATCCACTTTTAGAAGTAGGCCATTTGATACTCGAGTTTAATTCTCAAGTTGTTTTGCGTTTCGATGTTCTTAAGGTGAAAAGTATTACTGGATAGTAAAGATTTAGATCAAAATATCAACCCATTACTTGCTATTGTAATCGTCTGAAGTAAATTCTTATAAGATTAGAGTATTTTATTGGAGCTGAGATCAAATACCTATTCCGAGTTCCGAATACAGAAGGAAAATAATAACGAAAGTTAATAACTGATGAAAATTCGGTTTCTGTGTTTATAGCCCTACAATAATAATATAAAAAAGCGTTGGCAACGAAAATGATATTCAGAAATTGATATTGACACACCTCTTGGTGCAGCCTCCTGATCAGCTGATGGTTCAATTTTAGAAAAGTCAGCGAACGGATCGTCCTGTAAAAGAAACAAATATCAAGGTTAGTAGTAAGGGCAAGTACATGTTCACAGTAAACAACTGAAAAGTTATTTAATAACAGCTCAATTACGGCGGTTTAGTCAAATAAGATCTTGCTACTCCAAATACTTTACAAACAAACATCAACAAATAAATAATTGATACCAGATAGGTTTTGTGGATATTATAGTAATTTCAATGGTCAAGATCATGGGTCAGTTGAAGCTAGACCCCCATGAAAAACCTGCCGGCTTAATGGTCTAGTGCTTGCATGCGAAATCAGTAGGTCATGGGTTCGAATCTCGCAGAAGGCGGGGTCGTCGGTGCGCACTGCTGAGGAATTCCACAATATAACAAAACGTTTGTCCAGTGCTTCCAGGTTTTCCATGGGGACCTAGCTTCAACTGACTCATGATCTCAACCATTGAAATAAATAATTACTGAGAAAATTAGAAGTTATTTAGCCATGGAAGGTAATTTCCAATGAAAGCACTACCGAAATTTCTACTAGTTCTACGAATAAGAACATCCTATAATAAAAATGACCGATAGCAAAAGCGCTGAATGCTCCCGTTAGACACACCTGTTAAGTGTGAGCAAGCTCTATCACTTAGCTGCAAATACTGTGATTCTACATATTTATGACGACATTTCTGAGACCATTAACACAACAACTAGAAATTACCTACTCTACAGACAAAGCAAAAAAGTGAGGAATCTTGGCAGATTACAACACTAAAACTACAACACATGCCTATTTGATTTGAAGAAATATATTTCGGCAGAAAAATTCCATACTATGGTATCCTAAATGAGACCAATCAATGACGAATACAACTTACAAATAAAACCAATTCCCATAAAATCACTTTATCTAATCTATTTCTATGAACTAAAAATCCCCATGATGTAAATTAAAACGACAAATCTGAGCGAAAAATGTTTTATACAGGATTTACTCTGTATACAGTGATGTATTTTCACATGAAAACAATTAAACCAGTTAAGGCAATTTATAGGTCAATTATATTAATGGAACAGATTACGTGGCCAATAATAATCAGTAAAATGTACAAATTTGTAGTAAAATGACGTGTGTACTAATCTTGACGAGAATAATAACAACGTAAATGAATGATTCAAATAAGAAGTAGGTCAGAACAAATAAAAATCAATGGAAAGTTCGATGCGCAATAACACATATTGATTGGAGTTAGATAAATAAACCATTGGATGCTGGCTCAATGGTTCAAATTTTGAAAACTCACTGACAGATTTAATTTTTTTTAGGTCTCATCCCTATGCGATCGTAGATGCACTACCATGAGAAGTTCATACTAAGTCAGAATAGCTGTCCAGTGGTTTCTGGTTCTCAGTGATTACCTAACCAAGGCTAGTTCCGGATATGTTGCCTCACCACATGAGCACTACAAGACTAAATTGACAAGACGAATCGCAGAGTAGTAGAAGTAGTCAGATTACCAATTTCAATAGAAAAGGCCATCCATAGATGACATGATCCCCAAAAATAGACGAATTAGTGGACTTAAAAAAGTATAAAACAATTTCTAAACTCAGGATCCAAGGGAATTCAAATGGTAAATGCATCTGCGACAATGCGACCGGTTTTTAGCCATATAACCCATTATCCCCGACCATTGATTACGATAACTACATGAACCCCAGTGAGGTAAACTGAACCTACCAACACGGTTCGACTGAACTCTCAGTGACTTCATGGACTGATACATACGTTTTGTTTCGGCCGCCCCTCGCTTTTTCCAAACCTAATCCTACATCAGCCAACATCGCACATCGAGGTATATGGTAGTTGAGAATATTTAACACGTGTACTAAATATTTCAACTGATGAAGATTCGCTACCTCATTAAGCGATTCGTCAATATTACAGTATGCCTTGAGTCAAACCTCAGCGCTACCCACTCAGTGGTCTCAAAATATGAGTAGAATGATTCGAAAATGTCTAATCGGGTACCAGTAATCTTTAAATGTCCTCTATTTTCAACAGTTAGATTTCACAACCATAAAATAGAACACGGCGAACCACTACAACGTGATTTCGTCCCTTTTTGTGAAACGGACATCTCGCCTACACCACAAGTAATCCAGGTTGGCAAAAGTCAGACGAGCTCTTCGAATCGTGAAGAAATTTTATCAGACACGAACCTAATAAGACCGATGAGACCTTTAAGATAAACGAAGAGGGTAACTCTCAACTGCTTCACCTCTTATCACCGGTAATGGAGTCGACTCAGACTAGTCCTAAAGCAACATTTAACACATACTTATCAATAAATAAAAAAACAACCAGAACAAGTATATATATATATATATATATATATATATATATATATATATATATATATATATATATATATAGTGAAGTAGAGATAGGTAAAGGATGAATAACAAAAACCAAACAAACGGTATAAAAAAATTGGTAATATCGTCTATTAAGTTTTATGGAGCTAAGAAAGAGGCAAGTGTTACGAATCTCTCCTGAACGCAGACTAGAGCTATGAGCTCGGAATCCTATGACTTTTCATGTGTAAGTGACAAGATCAAACTCTGTTGTGAAACTTCGAAAATACAGAATATACCACTTGGAATTATTTATTTTTATCTACCATATGGCTACTATTAACCAAGTATGATGAAATGGAGCTACGAAATTTCCGTTTCACCCCTTATCAACCGCATAAAAAAACGTCCATTCATTCCTTGAGTTGCGTGTTGTCAAGTGTTCTTCACAGGAGCACCTGATATATTCGTATCGTGGACTTGTGAGAACGAGTGTGACAATAATTATAATATCTACTTTGACCTACTTCTTATATTGAATCATCTATTTACGACGTTATTATTCTTATCACGATAAGCACACGTCATCTTACTACAGATTTTTAACACACGTTCTTTTAGATACGGAGAACTAATAAGCAGAAAGACAGAGTAAATTTCCAGTTTATTGACCATTATTCCATTTGATAAAAGGAAGTATATAAAATGAAAACAAAGTTCAACTACTGTATTTTGTACCATATACAAGAGGTTAATTATTACGAAAAGTGTAATTCATAAATTTACGTGAAACAATATAAGATCATACAAGACTACACAAATTGAGACATAATAACACAAAACCTGCTGTTAAGCACAGTACGATATGATGCATTACTTATTAAAAAGAACCACTCACACAAAATAAATTTTGTCAAGTACAAAAACAATAAAGAGTGTGCGATGGAGAAAGATAATTTGAAGACAGAATTTCTCATGCGTAGGCTAATATTATTTTAAAGAAATATAGTTTTGCAATTGAAATTTACGGAAAGGTGTTTGTGTTTATTTTAGTCTCGGAATGAGTTTTTGATACTTTCTACTCACAAATTATAATTTTAAGGCAATTAAGTGATCATCTTACTTCACTGTATAATACACATTGATTTTAACTTGAAAAAGGCAATAATTATATCTGTCATTGAATAAGAAAAAGAGAATTCAGCGAAGAAAATTTTCTTTTCGACGAAATCATTTACTTAAGCTGTACATTCGTATATATAGTTATATGGAAAATGTATGTCTATAGAAGGATAAAAAGGATTGTATCACAAAAATGGATTCGACAATAAATAACAAATGAGGTTAACGTACTAATCAAGGGGTAAGGAAGAACAATTGGACTATTATCTGACCCTTAAATTTTGTTCTTCCTTACCCCTTGATTAGTACGTTAACCTCATTTGTTATTTATTGTCGAATCCATTTTTGTGATACAATCCTTTCTATCCTTCTATAGACATACATTTTCCATATAACTATATATACGAATGTACAGCTTAAGTAAATGATTTCGTCGAAAAGAAAATTTTTTTCGCTGAATTCTCTTTTTCTTATTCAATGACACTATGGGTTGTTTTAATTATATCTGTGTTTTTGTATATTCCATTTGAAGAATTTACTTTATATCATTATTTGTAATCATTACTTGAAAAATGATGCAATAAACGTTATGTGATTGAGTACCAATCAGATTTAAATTAGTCACATTAGAAATAGAAAATTTTATCAGAAACATTTCAAAACCAGTCAGAGATAACCAATGTATTCAAGGGCATACGTACTTTAGCCTAGGTCCCTATTTGTCATCACTACATAGGAGAAATTAACAAAGTGAGTGGCGAAAGAGTCCTGATAACAGTAGCATCAATGAGAAAGACTAAATTCTGATGGATATGGTTCAAAAGAAAACAAGTAGCAAAGTCTATACAAAGGAACACTGAAACTCTAGGTCAAACGGAAAATGAAGAGTGAAGAAACTTATGGCACTGAGACCGATGAGTCATGTTATCCAAAATCTTCATCCAGTGATCGGATTCAATAAACAAACACAAAGCAGATAGTATTCGGCAACATTTAACATAGCTTAGTTCAACAATCAATGGGTTTATGGACTGGCGCGACGTCTTGATTTAGCCACTTAGTTTTTTTGCAACCCACTCCTACGCTGTCCAGCATTATGCATCGACGTAGGCGATTGTTGGACATACGTCACATGTTCTAGCCATCTAATTCCATGAAGATTCACACCCTAATCAACTGGTTTGCCATGCTTTCCTAGTACTCAACATTTAACCCAGCCATTCCTCATTCCGTTGTTTCCCTATACATGATGAGTGTTTCATGTAGGAACTATATGAAATCAAATGGGGAATGTTTCCTATACGAAAACAAGAGCGTCATGAGGCAAGAAAAAACGTTAAATGCATTGATTCAAAGTGTTTTCATTATCGAACGTGTAAAAATATTCGATAAGAAATTTTGATTTCAAGCTGGTTGTAACTCATCCGTTATACGTGACCTTCACGATTTCATGAAAATATGGATTGAGTACGATTTTATAACAAAGAAATTTCAAAAAATGGAATTTTAGGATTTCACTTGTTGAACCGAAACAAATGTACATGAGGTACTCATCCGCTTGGTTAATGACAATTAAGCAGTTGAGTGGATAGTATAGTATTTAGATTTTACCAGAGAATTTATCCGAAAACCTGGATATCAAAAAAACTATTATTGAGAATGAACAGAAAATCATATAAGATATGTGGTACTTTGTTTCACTATATATATATATATATATATATATAGGATATGGACTAAATATTCGTACATAGTAAACTCACTTTTCGACCAACATCCAGTTCATAAGTATGAATAGAGTATATGTCGTGATTATCTGGGTAGGCAAAAATAGGACGAACGCAGACTATTAGATACACAGTAATCATGGTTATCAGAAATGAAGAAATGCAGATCGTTACAGATAAACAACGCCATACTTACGTGACACTGTCAATGTAACGAAAAGCAAAAGTCATAAAAGATGAATACACAAAACACGGCGGAATGAATATAATGTTAACTTTGAAAAGAAAACTGACTCCATCAACTAGTCGGACTTGTTCTGTGTAACTTAGTAATTTGTAACTCTACTATAGATAATTACACAGACTAACAGTAACAGTAAATAAATTTCATTAAATCCACTTATGTAGGAGAAGGTTAACTTGATAGCAAACTTACGTTATTACCTCATTACGCAAGTTCTTTTTCTAACCCTCTAATATAACTCGATAACCTTATATTTAAATAACCGAGCTTTATTGATTTTATTTTTGTACATAATCACATATAAGGCAGTCTGCTTGAATATCTGGGCTACCTGTCCCTGCCATCTGGATATTTCAACAATTTATATATTTTCTTGTTTGTTTTAACACATCATTATGCTTATTAGTCTCATAATCTATTTAGGTGCGCTTGTGAAAAGTTTACGACATTTCACTGTACAAGTCACAAAAGAGACATCGTGGTTGCTAGCAATATGCAGTGAAAAGAATATACAGTATTCAGATGTAGATTCCTGTACTACTAACACCTAACTGGCGACCACTCAATACTTATCGCAAGGATCGGCCAAGAAATAAGGAAAGAAAACTAGTTGAAACACGTTGTACTGAGAATTGTGTATTGTACCAAAAATATAATATTGAATAAAACTAATAATAATAATAATAATGTGTGCAAAACCAACCAATGATGATTAAAGTACATGGTTTCCAAATGTCGTAGTTTGTCCAGGTGTATATCAGCAATAACACTCATACAAAAATTGTTTCAAAGACAAGCACAAAAACTTGTACTCATTAAACGAGTAGTATTATTACTACTTAACCTGGGATAACATATGTTAACTGAACTGAACAATAGCACTGAAAACATAACCTCAATGAAAGGAGGACCATTAGGAACTTAATTTTATGACACCTTATCCCACATCCCATGTTCACCTCAATCTTATAAAACATGAAAACCTTTAAAACGATTAAGCATGGATAGAAAAAATCTGGTATATGCGACCGAATTATAACCAAATAGGCTGTTTCGTATTAATTGTATTAATATTTGTTTTCAAATTGAAGATAATGATGTGGTGGTTCCTTAGTCTAATCATGAATCAAATCACTTTTTACTTTATATTTTCACTTATTTCTATGCCTATTTGTTTGTTAAACTTTCTTTTTAACTAGATTACTATATACATAACATTGAAATATTTGTTTTCGCATTTTATCCTGAAATCATCATTCTATCATAACTTATTGCACTTAATTAATTGTAGAGTATTCAAAGCTGAATGTTTAGGCACTTCACATAGTTATTTGATAAGACAGTACTAATCATAATATTTGTAAATAATGCTCATATTCTACATATTTGATAGTAATGTCATATCAAATGTGTAAAAAACTGGTACTGAAGTTATGTGTACTTTAGTCAGACAAGAAAATGGAACTAGTACTGATAAATTATTATTGAAAACAGTTCACAATGTGAATCAAAGAGATTACAATTTGTTAAATTAGATGTTTGTTGTCAGTTCATAAATTATTCAGCGAAGTAAACTGAAAACCAACCGATCAAACAGTTCAGCAAAAATGGAGAAGAATGGTTTACAAAAGTTGATTTGTGTAATCAGCTGAGCAACCTTAAAAGAATAGCGTAGGAACCCATTAAGTCCCTCGACTGTCGAAAATTTCTCAGAATTTTTAGATAAATGAAAAACTACTGAGATATAGAAGATTGGTTCAACTCCTGAACCAATTTTTCCTGTATTTACATCTCAGTGAATGTATATAATCTATTTAGAAAGAAATTCACACAAGATTTTTAAAAAGTCAAGGTATATTTTTAGACCTAGTAATTGAAACAATGTTATATTACCTGAAAGGTCACCAGTAGCGGCTGAGATTCCAATAAAATAGCCAGTAGGTAAACGTACTCCGTCAACTGTGAAACAGTCTACAGGATCTGTAGCACCTTGATATTTCAAAGAAACCTGAAGATTGAGAAATCCCATACTTAGTAAACAAACTTGTCATATACCAAACATCAGAAAAAGACATAGTTCAAAATATACAACAATCTCAAGTTTTTGGCACAAAAAAGTAATACATCAGTCATATTGTCACCACCAACAATCTGCATGTGTCATAACTGATTAATTATACACTTTATTAAGACGACTAAGTTAAGGAATTACTTTATTTCTTATCTAATATTTTTCCACAAATTTTCTACAAGTAGAGACGTCAGTTGCATGGACATGCGTCCCAAATAAGTTATAGATTATGTTTGTTTAGAAAGCAGAAGTTATTGTGAATAGTTAGCGTCAAAAATAACCCTTAGTGGATAAACAGTAAGTTCATGAGACCCAAATCCAAGGTTTTTTTAGTTTATGGTAAAACCTATGATCAGTAAATGATAAAAATGATATTAAACTATGTTTTATCAGTGAATGTAATATGGTAGGGTTGTGGTACCTAAGCTAAAAATCTACAGCAACTGATCTATCAAGTCCTACGGACGGAGGTTAAATTAAGATAACAGGACATCTAAAGTGCGTGATAGGAAGTGCTCTATAATAAAAGATTGTAAATAAAATCGAAAAGTAACTATTTTTGATTGAAGTTTTCTAAAGAACTGGTTGCTATTGAGTTTAATTGACACAAGTATAGATTATGGGCTAAGTTTGCAACAATGTATTTAGTTATCATGACACATTTTGAGAGTATGTTATCCGAGTCTACAATAAGTGTCAAAACATAGAAATAAGCCAATCCTAGTGTACTTACACACTTATGCAGAAAAACATACAGTTAAAATGCTAACCTTCAACTGGTTATTAGCGTAACGAATTGTGGCCATTGAGTAGTCATTATTACGAAAATTAGATGAACAACCAGCTAATTCAGTTAAAGTTCCATCCTTATCATGGTCATAGTGTTTAGATCCATCGTTAATCATTGCACTGACATAAGGATGCTCATGACTATGCTCACCATTTTGATTAGCGTAAGTATCAAAGAAAACGGCCAACCCACGGAACTTATCTCGACTGCCGAATGCTGGCCCTATGAATAAACAAGTTTAATTAGCGAAAGAACTTTAAAATAACATACCACTTGAAGGAGGATGTTGAGTATACCAGAAAGCAAATCCATCACCGACCAGAGTTTTGGGACTATGAACATGGAACAAAATAACCACCTCCCAATCACGAGCAAATAAAGGTTTTATATTGAAAATACCTCCTTGATTACTTTTTACATCGGAAGTTAGGCGTACGAACTGAGGTTCAATAATCGTTGATCCATAAGGTACCCAGTGAGCTATCAAAAAATTATATATATAACGTCTAAGTGATATATAAGTAGCAATAATGATTGAATGTGAGTCACACCATTATTAGCCTTACTGCTTCAAATTCAAAACCGAAGAAAGGAAAACGTGATTTCTATTGAGATGATATGAAAACTACCTAAACCCTCAAGAATATAAACCGATGAAATCCTACAAAACCATAAATTTATTCTGAATGAGGGATACTAAAACACTCAGACAATCACGGATGTATTCAATTATAGTATTACGGTAATATCGTTCAAAACAGGATACTGACTCAGCTAAAACACAAGACTTTATGGGAGGTTAGTAAAATAACTCATTTACTTCGCTAACGACATCTGAAATTATAGCCTTAGTAATAAGTTGGCAACAAATCTCCAACACAAAGGCACAAATTAAGACTAACTTGGGGGAGAATCTCACTGAAATCATGAACAGACTCAGTTAGACCACCACTGAAAACTTGGAAACACCGGACGCTTGTGTTCGTCCTAGTATGAGGGAAAATGTTTAAAAGTTAGAAAAATAAGGCTACTAAAATCTATTACAGTAAACTGTGATATGTAACATAAACTTTTAAACTAACGCGCGTGATGTTGTCAAAAAATTTGAGAAAACTCAGCTGGCGGAATATTTGTAACGGAAGTCACATTTTACCACTCCAATTGTTATCAACTCTGCTTTCTCATATTTTGGAAGCGAGTACGGATGTTTGGGGAAATGGCTAACGATATGGGTGTGAAAAAGGCCCTTTATCTTCTAAAATCGAATTCCCGGAGATGTAGCCTAGCAGTTTAATTTGGTTCTTAAATACTGAGCCAAAGGTTTTAGACCTTCCTTACTTTTATGTTTTCTGTACTTGTTTCCTTTTTTAAAGTACAGAACTTAAGAAGTGAAATAAGTCACCAAGTTGCATCGGTTTGACACTTTCTACAATTTCATGTCATTTCGATGTCAATAAATACGGTTGAACAGTTTGCTATATTCCAGTGGTTTTTGTATTTAAAAAGCTCTCTAAGCCACTTCAGGCTTTACTACCCTAGTTATACAATGATAGAAACGCACAACAATATAGCACGTACAAAAGGCACTATACATCTGACTACCAATGGAGAAATTAAAGACATGAAACTTTCAGTGAATAAACAGAGAAACAATCATGCACTACTTGAGTGTTTGAAATTTCAATGCGGAAGTGTGAACTAATTTGTACCACAATTATCGATTTTTAGTTCCATCATCTAAAGTTTACAGCTATTTTTAATATTTATAAAGTTTTGGGAAACCTAATTTTGATAAATCGTTTACATCTGATTGATAAATAGTTACGGATTCTATGTAAATATTTGGTTTATTCAGACGAGATAAACTCAGTAACATCGACAACTAGCCTTGCTGTTGTCTATTTGGCTTTACAAAATTCCATTTTCGCTGTTGGGACAGTGTGTAACGGCAGAGGTGGATCAAAGAAAAAAAATGAAGTGGCCTACATACCTGCATTTTGTTCAATATTTTTAGTTTTCTTATAAAGAACAGTGTAAACCAAGTTAATCGGCAAGACTATGACTTATAGACGACTTTTCAACGATAGTAGTGGCCCCGATTACACCCTAACCACTGAGTAGGGTCAAAATATAATTACAAATCATTGAGGAATGAGGAGTTGGAAATTAGGATTGATAGGTAGGGTCAAGATTTCTACCACGAGCTGACATAACCAATAATCCAAAAATGCTATTTAAACAAATAGGTAAACAAATTTCAAACACGAACCCAGTAGATGCACTTAAATTATAGTAAAATATTAGCAGCTAATGACTGAGTCAATTTGCAACAGTACATAAACACCTCTATCCCTTGTGTTTGTGTACGTAAAAAAATTGTTTTATTTATATCCTGTTTGCTCTTTTGTAATCGTATTTTTAATGCCTGGTCATTTTGTCAGTTTATTTTTTTTAAAACATCAAGGAATGGAACGTCATAATGAACTTAAATACAGGATTTAAATGATCGGTTTTTAGTGCATCTTTTGTCACGGCCTCCATTTATGCCCCATTGTTGCTGTATTAAATTGTCGTGAGCGTTTACGACTGAAACGCAAAACGATGGTGGCCAGTAAGCAGTGTGTTTCGACTTAGTAACCAGTAACACTGCAATATTAACTGCATTTCAGGTCGAAAAGTAAGCTTAGGCAACGTAAAAGTTGATTCCTGGAAATATATTATTTATAGAACCGCGTCGACATGGTTACGGAGTAGGATTATATTTGAGGTAATGAAAAGAGACTAAGTCTAACAACACTGGAACTGTATCAGAACAATAAAAATAAGCAAAAGAAACCAATCGGTCTATACAATCTTATGAAAAAGACACGTATTCAGTACTGCATATTGAAATCCTTAATAACCCATATAGGGACGAGACAAAACTTTGAATAAATAAAAAACTTACGGCTTGAATATGGAGGAACGAGTGAGTTATCTCTGATGTGGTAAGAAGAATGTACTACATTGGAAAACGACAGGCAAAGAAGAATCACTAGCATTGCACGGACGTGCCGGAAAATTACAATTTTGCGCTGTGTGATATAATTGATTGCAACAAACGAATCCAACTTTTTATTGCATACAAATAAAAGGCTATGACCTTTTATTTGCAGAAAAAATCGGAAGGTACACGTTAATTTAGTACGGTTGATTTTATGTACACCATTTTCTTGAGAACTGGTCAATCTACAAAGAAATGTATTTGTTAGTATACTTTAGGAATCAAATAGTAGGTGAAAGTTTTTGGCTTCATGAGTATCCCCCTTTGCATTTAGTTTGAAGCCCAAAATTATGTCTTCCGAGCCACTTAAAACTACCTGGAATCAGATGAAAGGATTTTTCATGTTCACATCAGTTTCACAGAATCCTATGCTTCACTCAGATCTGTGGTAGGTTAATTCAAAGACATTTAGGTTTTCTTTACTGTCAACGCTGCCGCAGACCTTACAAATAAAACTCACTCCCCGTTTCAGTAAGATCATGAGGACGTTTAGATGCTGGAGATCAGAAGTTTAAACTGAATGAGCTTGCTACTGGCAAACATTCATCAAATGGCTAGATATATTTAACAGTATCTGATTGCCTGCTTTCATTCTATAGGGTTTTAAGATTTTGAAAGCAACTTCTTCGCTCAATTAAGTGACTTCCAATACATTCTTTTCTGACTAGAAAATTCGGGAGAAAAGTTGCGAATACGTGTTTGATAGTCATGTTTCCAGAATACTTGTGGTATGCAAAATGTACGGGAATAAAGTATCGTACGTTAGCAGAAATTGGTATGAAGCAGTTTGACACCACTAATGACGAAAAGTCTCTGGAAGATAAGACCCATATTCAGTTAAGACAAGGGACTCAATAATTCTCCTGAAAGTCATAAACACGTCTAGACGTAGTTCTGTAGTGACCTGTTTTTATCACGAGAACACGATTGGTTTATTGAAAACAATTATTATTATAACCAATTGTACCGGTGAGTGTTTAGTGTACCCTTTGTTTAACTGTGCTAAAAAGCATCCATTATTCTCACACTTTGATTGTGACCTCGCGCAAATTCGGTTACGCTCTGTAACCAAGCTTGTATCCTGGCACGATCTCGGTATTCTTGCGATACCACGAGATCGTCAGCAAATATATCTCGACTTGGTCCATTAACTGCCTTATCATATTTGGCTTCCCGGGGATTTTATGGATTTATTTGGCACGTGTTTCCCGGTAGCGGTGTTCACAGTCAACTGCGACTGGGCATCACACTACAGTTCACTTAGTATGAGATTTTGTCTCATCATGTGTTTAAAGTCAGGTGTTTAAAGGCTTTTCTGTTCACCATGAAGGACTTGTAAATGACAGTGATTTTTCAACTTTGGATGGGTTCTCTTCTTCATATCATCTGCTTGTATATGGTAGGTGGACACTTGAAATCATGTCGCTCATAAAATTTTAGTTAGAATACAGAAAATCCGCGAACTCATCTGAGATCCAGAGTTTATTGCAACATTTTATGGAAAGCCAATCGTCACAAATTACCGATTATCAAAATCATATCCGATGTAGAATAGTTGTCTACTATGATATTAGTACTGCTTTAATAATAGACCTAATCCTAAATTTGTAGATTTGTCATGATATAACTGACTAATCTATAAGACCTTACGTGGAAGTCACACCATCGACTACACCAACTCACTGTATCGTATCAATCACCAATACATGATGTAGAACAAGGTTAGGCTAGAGAAAGAACAATATATTTAATATGAATAGAAGATATAAAGTAACATTGAGATGGACCACGCCTGCATGGACGAGCCATGCCATCCGATCAAACCCAGTCCATTCAATTCATTCTCCGCGCCTTCTCCATTGTTAGGTATTTCCCCGAGTTAAATATTGAATATCTATTTTCTGAGTAGTCTCGTGTTCACAGCTTTGTGGATTGTGTGGCTATTGTCCAATGCCACTACACTACTCTCCCACCAGAATCAACGTGATGTTGTTTCGATGCCAAATTGGATGGGATCGTCGCGCGCCGGAGGTTACCAAGGATAATAAGGATCCTCCGGGTATTGATAAGCTGAAAGATAAACCAAAAAGAAGGCGGCAGCATCTGGTCGGGAAATACATGTAATAATCTTAAAATATCTACTTTCATGATTAACACGCTTAAAATGAAAATTTGGTTGAAGATTATTTGAACTATGAAAAATGGGATTACAATAATAATAATAAAACGATGCGTGTTAATAACTTAACTTATAGGCAGTAATTATTTTGTGTTTAGAAATATTAAAATAATGAATATTGTAGAAATGTTAATATTGGTATTAGTTTTGGTTTAAATTATGAAATCGGATAACGATTATGCCGGTAAGTTGTCCATATGAGTTGAATTCCAATTGCATCTGTATTAGTAGGCTAACTGAAGGAACAAAAGTATACCGTGGAGAAGAATTCCAACTAGTGTTCCAGTTAGTTTGATACGGTTTATTTAGTTACGGGGAGATTTTCTCAACCTCATTTTTACTTGACCGTGATAGAATTTAGTAATACTACTAATACACATGAACGGTAATCAGAATAAAATTTAAATACGTGAGTGATAATTATATGGATTTTGGACAGATAGCTAGGAAAAATCGTTAAACATGAGTGTGTTCGTAAGAGACATGCTCTAGACTCAATGTTCTGATCTGCGATAGACTATTTATACATATTTATACTTGCCGGCTGATGGGCATACAAATTAGTTGCACGTATGCGGGCAGAATACGATTTAAATGAGATATGGTGATTATAAGTTATTGAAATCACTTAAGCCTATGTGTCATATTACTAACTGACGTGGTGCTGCAAGATGTATTTGGCTAAATAAGTTTTTACAAGATGATTAATAGTGAGTGACGCTCATGTGATTATCAGGGAGAACATAAGTTGTAACCAGGGGGAGTACACTCCCAACTCATGTCTATGATAATGGCTTGAACCTTAGTCAGTGTTGGGGTAAATTCGACATTGATGTTTTCAGTTTGCAGGAGATTTGCTCGACTGCTTATACTGATTATTTGCATGCATGATTGTGTCGCTAAACCATCAATTAGACTGACAAGGTTTTGAGATATTTATTGAATGAGCAACTGATAGAGAAACATACTGTAATCATCTGTGATGGATGAAGATACCAAGAAAACAACACCATTTAATGGTAATTATAAGTCAATTTGTTGACCGATTTCGTTAATAGTTTTATTAATTTTATCATTCATATTACGTGATTGTCAAGTTATGACAATGCTTTATGACGATATCCTGAAACTATTAAATTTAACTAGTTATAGTGTTGACTGAGGATTAGTCAGTGGAAAAATAGGTATAGTTGCTTTAGGTGATTCGAAATCATCAGAAAATTATAACGTTAAAGAATCCGAGACGCCTAATTTAATTATAAATTTCAATTCAGAAATATTCGTTGTGTTAATTTTAGTAGGCTACGGAGTTTTGATTTTAAACGTTTGTTGAGCCAACAGCTACCTGGGGATTTAGTTATTTTACTAGTGCAGTTGACAGTACCTAAATTTTTAATCTTATTATCTAAACTATGTTCGCATTTTAGGCTGCTAATATGATAAACCAATCCATAAACCCAAATACGATTAGCAACAACGACTATGATGGGTTTATTGATAAATGTTAAAGGCGATTCAGATGATTTCTAAATTTAGAAGACATGGAGACATAGTGTAACGTATGTATGGGCCAGGTTAACATGCAGGTTGTTGACGTATATGACGATTTAAAAATAATGAACATGACCAGAAAATAGTTTTAAATTTTAGACTGCTTGTGAAACTTCAGGCAGGAATATGATGCGTTATAAACATTCCATAAGGAGTTACTGCATTTAGCCTAGGGACACTTACAAATATATAGCAAAAGGAACCGGAAAACATATACATGTTAAGTAAAAGAATCATTAAGTAAAATAGTTGAACTCGCCTGGGTTATTTTTGAAAATTAGATTATTCAGTGGACGACATATATAACGCCATTCGTGAAGAGTAGTAATGATCCAAAAGTATCCAGAATAAAACATGCAGTATGGCAATTAATCCCAGGGTGCTTGATGCTGTTGACGTTTTTGCCACTCGCTCGGATTAGAACAACCGAATGAATTCAGATAATTGTGCGGTCACCATTGAACGAGCCATCTAAAATGACCTTATGATTGCAGAAAACTTAAGGCTGAAACTCACCGTATGTTTTTAGAGAAGTGTCATCCTTGTTGTTTGGCAATGGAACTCGAAAATTTGAAATTAGGCAGGCAGTGGTCGGAAGAAAAGATATTACAGGAAAGTGTATAGTTTAAAACAGGATGAGGTAATAAGATAAGGATCACTGAATATTAGATCCAGGTAACTATTTAGTCCTTGCTGCATTGTTAGTCAGTGTATATTTGCGTTATTTACTGGTCATATTTGCTAGAGCTTGATGCTTAAACAAGCCTATGTCGCTGAAGCATGTAAATGCTATTAAAGCTTGTTAACGAACCATCAAAGCTAATTAGTTAATATAGACGAACAGTTTTTATTATCGAATGAGCTAGTGAGTTATGTGAACTAATAGATATAACATTACGATAATATATATGTAACCATTAATCAAAGGACTATTAGAATAGTGGGTTTACAAAAATAAAATCCGATTGAGAAGGTTAAGGTGGAAATAAGGATTAACAATAATAGGTTGCGTTTCTTTAGTTGGGCTCACCAATGTAGAATAGTTGTCTACTATGATATTAGTACTGCTTTAATAATAGACCTAATCCTAAATTTGTAGATTTGTCATGATATAACTGACTAATCTATAAGACCTTACGTGGAAGTCACACCATCGACTACACCAACTCACTGTATCGTATCAATCACCAATACATGATGTAGAACAAGGTTAGGCTAGAGAAAGAACAATATATTTAATATGAATAGAAGATATAAAGTAACATTGAGATGGACCACGCCTGCATGGACGAGCCATGCCATCCGATCAAACCCAGTCCATTCAATTCATTCTCCGCGCCTTCTCCATTGTTAGGTATTTCCCCGAGTTAAATATTGAATATCTATTTTCTGAGTAGTCTCGTGTTCACAGCTTTGTGGATTGTGTGGCTATTGTCCAATGCCACTACACTACTCTCCCACCAGAATCAACGTGATGTTGTTTCGATGCCAAATTGGATGGGATCGTCGCGCGCCGGAGGTTACCAAGGATAATAAGGATCCTCCGGGTATTGATAAGCTGAAAGATAAACCAAAAAGAAGGCGGCAGCATCTGGTCGGGAAATACATGTAATAATCTTAAAATATCTACTTTCATG